AAAAAAAAAAAAAAAAAAAAAAAAAAAAAAAGGGAGAGAGAAAAAAGGGAGAGAGAGAGAAAAAAGGGAGAGAGAAGGAGAGATTGCCTTGCCTTCTAATTTCTCCCTCTCCAGTCACAGAACAATGTCGATGAGCCCTAAGCATACGACTCCTTTTTCTGTTTCCGATATCTTGAGTCCCCTCGAGGAGAGCTATAAGAAAGTAAGTATGGAGAACAACAACTTGGGGGCACCTCTCACTTCTTACCGGCAGCCGCAGGTCTCTCAGGCGGCGATGCAGCAGCACCACATGGGTCACAACGGGACKGTGTCTGCGGCGTACCACATGACGGCGGCAGGTGTTTCTCAGCTCTCCCACTCTGCCATGGGGGGCTACTGCAACGGCAACCTGGGCAACATGGGGGACCTGCCGTCTTACCAGGACGGCATGCGGGGCAGCGCCACGGCCACGGGCTGGTACGGAGCCAACCCAGACCCGCGTTTTTCCACCAGTGAGTATCCTGCAGCCAGATTTCGCGCGCTGCGTAAAATCCATTTTAATAACATATATGACGCGTAAAATGGATTTTACGCACCATATTCATATTTATAAAATATATTTTCACGTGCGTAAAGTCTATGTTTATATTTATTATAGCTCTTGAATTAAAATACACACGTTTCATGTATGTTTATTTTCCAAAAACACTTGGAATATTTTTATTTTTTACAAGGACGAAAGGACAGATTTTAGTCTGAGCGTCAATTCCAATAATTTCAAGTTAACCATTTAAATAGTTTTCCCATTTATACTAATGTAGCTATGGAGAGCTAAAACATAAATTATTTGATGATGCTTGATAGTTTTCTGGACATGCAGGTGAAATATGTTGAGGGAAAAAAAGAATTTTATTTTTTTGCGCTAATTTTTTGACTGATAAGTAATTTGAGCATAGGACGCCTAATTTGGCCAACTTTATCAGAACAAGAAGTAAGTTGCGAATTAACTGGTTTATTTTTCACATTTTCTGCAGATAAAAAATAGATAATGATTCAATTTTTTTTCTCCCCCTCAGTTTCTCGCTTCATGGGCTCGTCGTCGGGCATGAACATGGGCAGCATGGGCAGCCTCAGCTCCTTGGCGGATGTCGGCAAAGGCATGGGCTCCCTGTCCAGCACCCCGAGGAGGAAACGGCGCGTGCTTTTCTCCCAGGCGCAAGTCTACGAGCTGGAGCGGCGCTTCAAGCAGCAGAAGTACCTGTCGGCTCCGGAGAGGGAGCACCTGGCGAGCATGATCCATCTCACCCCGACCCAGGTGAAGATCTGGTTCCAGAACCACCGCTACAAAATGAAGCGCCAGGCCAAGGACAAGGTGTCCCAGCAGCAGATGCAACAGGACAGCGGCTCGTGCCAGCAGCAGCAGCAGCAGCAGCAGCAGCAGTCCCCGCGCAGGGTGGCGGTGCCGGTGCTGGTGAAGGACGGCAAGCCGTGCCAGGGCAGCGGCCACACGCCCACCTCCTCCGCGCAAACACACCACCAGCAAGGCGGCAACGTCATGATCATGTCCAACAATACGTCCGGCCTCGCGCAGCACCAGGCCCAGCAGGTGGGGGGTCACTCCCCGGACTTGGCGCAGCACTCCTCCAGTCCGCCGTCCCTGCAGAGCCAGGTGGCCGGCCTCTCCCACCTCAACTCCCCCGGCGCRGAGTACGGCTCGGCCCTGCAGTGCTCGGCCCTGCTGTACGGCAGGACGTGGTGACAAGAGGAGCCTCTCATTTAAATGACATTCTATAAATAACAGAAGAAGATGAACAGGAGGAAGAAAAACGCAATTTCTGTCAAGACTCGACAGGTTTTATTGTAAATGCGCGCGTGTGAACAGAAAGCGGAGTGAAACCGGTTCTTGAAGCCGACTCGCGTGGAACAAACTCTCCCACGAACTGCGGACGTGTGGAATTAATTTATGTAAATTATATCGAGACTAAAACACGATTTATTAGTCAAATAGATGTGAGGGGGTGGGGAGGGACACCGAACCGGACCGGACTGCTGTGTGACAGGCGCTGTGCCCCCCCCCCCCCCCCCCCCCCCCCACACACACACACACCGGGACTCTGGTTTCTAACAGACTTTAATGTGAGCCGTAGCTTTAGCTTGTATATTTCTGTAAAAGGATGGAGTTTTAGCTCTTTGTTGTACAAACGCTTTTTGCTGGTTTGTGGTGGTTTTACTGGTATTTGTACGTTTTATTTCTTTGTAACTTATAGATATTTGACTTACTACAAAAACAGTCCTATTAATAAATTATGGAAACAAGAACAGCTAAACGTTTTGTGAAATATGTCTAAACAGGCGCTGTGTGAAGC